AAGAATGTTTTAGGGTCCTTATTTGGGACCTCAATTGCTGTCTCTCCATAGGTTGGATTTTCGGGCATAAGCCTGAACAGGTGATAGAGCAATTTATTCAAACTCTTTGTTTTCCGAAGATACATTGAATACAGAGCCCGAAGCTAGTGGAGAGCAATGAATCTGTTAGTAAACCAAATACACCAAGACAATTGGTATAAAGAACAAATCAAAGTATAACGAATTTCCTTTCCTTATAAACTAGCAGATATTCTCTCTATTCCCTCATTATTATAACATATGTTTCTAATACCTTTCTCAAACTGTCTCCCTGTATTACAATACACTCATCTTGGTTTAAAGTATCTTAGACAAGAAAATCTATTCACCATTCCCACAGATGGCTCGCTCACTCTCCTCCCAAGTCTTCCACACATTCCTTCCACACCATTGTCCTTAACCTTTCAAATTTCTTATTTAAAACTAATCCCATTTTTGTGGCTGACCTCACCCTGTATCAAAAACTCCGATGACCCTTTAAGACAGAGAGCACAAACTAATAGTCCAAAAGGTCTTGGGGGTCTTCTCAGAGTTGTTTTTTCAATCAGGAAATTTCACATAAAAATATGGATTTCTGGTTTCTCTTTTAAAAACAGGAAAACGAGCCGCCACTGGAAGCATGACAGGTACCTAACCTACGTGAGACCCGTGCTTTACAACTCCTGCTTTCCCTAATAACACAGCTTGCATTTTTCACATTCACTTTGCAGTTCTTTGGTATCTGTATTGGTTTTAAAATGATTTCTTCCACTATATCACTTATCTCCTCATGGTACAAAGACACTATTTTCTTTTTTAAAATTTTGTATTTTTAATTTTTGTGGGTACACAGTAGATATTTATGGGGCATGTGAGGTATTTTATAGGCATATAATATGTAATAGGGTAAGTGGGGTATTCATCACCTCAAGCATTTATCCTTTCTTGTGTAAAACACACCATTTTCTGAACACTATGAATACTTAAATACAAGGATCAAACCATAGGATTTGGGATTGATTTTTAAAATATGTTGACCAAAGTACCCTTACCATCAAACTTAACATCGCCAATGAAGGATGAACATCCCAAATCTGAAAATCCAAAATCCAAAATGCTCCATAATCTAAAACTTGTTGAGCACCAACATGATGTATAAAGGAAATGCTCCTGGAGCATTTCACATTTTCGGATCTGGGATGTTCTACCAGTATGTGTAACAAAAATATTCCAAAATCTGAAAAAATCTGAAATCAGAAACACTACTGTCCCAAGTATTTTGGATAAGGGATACTCAACCTGTAAAATAATACAATAACATTATATGGCTCCTGAGATAAGACACTGAGAACACATAACAACTTGTGCAGTAAGTACTCTTGCTGAAAATTAACCAGAATCTAATGAGGAAACAATCAGACAACGTCAAATTGTATGACAGGCTAAAAGCAGCTGGCCAAAACAATGACAAGAAAGAAAAGAAAAGTATAGGAATTATAGGCTAAAGAAACTAAAGAAATATAGCAAACAAATACAAACATGATTCTTGATTGGATCTTCAATAGAGAAGAAAATAAAACTATAAAGATATTACTGGGACAACTGAAAGTATCTAAATAAAAATTAGGTATTATTGCATCAAAATTAAATTTCTTGAGTATAAAAATTGTATTATGCTTATGTAGAAACATATCCTTGATCTTAGGATATATATGCTTAAATACTTTTGGTAAAGCATCATAATGTCTGCAACTTACTTTCAAGTAGGTCAGCAGAAAAAAAGTAAATACAGAGAAAGTATGTGCAAATGTAGCAATACGTTAAAAATATGTTGATCTAAAAGAGTATGTAACTTTTCCTTGAATTATTCTTCCAATTTCATTGTAGTTTAATTTTTTTCAAAATAAATGGGATTTTTAAAAAAATAATCAGCAATATCAATGGGCTTTAAGAAACACACATATATGACCCAACAATTCTACTCCAAGATATACAACCCAAGTGAAATGAAAACATATTTCAACACAAAAGCTTATACATGAATGTTCACAGCAGCTTTATTCACAATAGCAAAGAAATGGAAACAAGCCTAAATGTCCATTAATAAACAGATAAACAAAATATGGTTTATCTATAAAACAGAGTATTATTCAGCCACAAAAGGAAATGCAATACTTATGATACATGCTACAATTTGACAAAAATTGAAAACAATATACTAAGTGAAATAAAAGCTAGACACTAAAGACCAGATATGTGAAATGTCCAGAACAGGCAGATGCATAGAGACAGAACACAATTTAATGGTTTTCAGGAGCTGTGGGGTTTGAAAGGAAATGGGAAGTGACTGCTATCAAGTACAATGAGATGTTGAAAATGCTTTTAAATAAGGTAGTAGTAATAACTGCACAACTCTGTAAATATAGTCAGCCCTCCATATTCATGGGTTTCATATCTGAAAATTCAACCAATCGCAGATTGAAAATATTTGAGGGGCAAAAAGGTGATGTTTAAAAACCTAGTACAACAATAAAAACACTACAAATTTTAAAAATACAGTATAACAACTATTTCAATAGCATTTACATTGTATTAGTGATAACTAATCTAGAGATGATTTTAAGTAGTATACAGGAGGATGTGCATAGGTTAGATGCAAATACTATGCCATTTTATATAAGCAACTTGGGTATTCACTGCAGTGGGGGACATGGGAGGGAGCCTGGAAATAATCCCCTGCAGATATCAAGGGATGACTGTATACTAAAAACACCAAATTCTATGTGCTAAGTGGGTAAATTTTATGGTATGTGCAGTATCTCAGTAAAGCTTTATAAAACAGACACAAAAACACACATGTATATGTACAACTTTTTTTCAGCTCAATCTGATTTGCTAGGAGCTTTTTTTTTTTTTTTTTTTTTTTAAAGAAAAAAGTTAACCCATGATTTAGGAACATTTAAAGTTTTCTGAAGAAAAATTCTGTTTATTTCAGGATTCATCTAATTAGTATTATTTAGTGGGTTATTCTGGTTTATGTGCCCACAGCTCAGTTCAAGTTTCTGACTCAATAATCATAAATGCTGCTGTATAATTCTGTACCCTAACCCAATCCCAGCTTAACAGAATAGGGGAAGCAAGGCCATTTTCCTAACTTCTGAATATAAAATAAGAACAAAACTCTTATATACAAAAGCCTCAATCTGCTGCAATTTTTTAGAGATTAACAATATTTTAAGAAATTGATGTAAAAGCCCAATAAGGAGCTCTTGAAATATATCATCAGCAAATAAAACTAGCGTAAGTCATAAAAATAAGTGACAGTCCTGAAGAGAAAACTAATCAATTTAACAACTAGATTAATGCTGCTTCTGTGATTTGATTTTTCCCCTTAGATATACAAATACAAAGATGCAAAAATTGATATCTTTGTACTGAGGTACAGGTGACAAACAACAACATAAATTATAATTTAAAAATTCTGAAAAAGTTCCATTGAAAATGAATGCCATAAATACTTCATCACACTAAGTGATAAACCACATCTCTTTGTAGTGACCTATCAAAGAAGGCACATATTTTTCTAGGTTGATTCAATGAAAGATTGATGGAGATTTGGATATTTCTTGTTCTTTTTGAGACAGGGTCTGGCTCTGTCACCCAGGTTTGAGTGCAGTGGCATAACCTCAGCTCACTGCAACCTCTGCTTCCCAGACTCAAGCTATCCTCAAGTGGGGATCTTTCTAAAAGAAATAAAAACTAGAGAGAGATCTTTCCAGTTTCTTCTTGGACAAGGTCTTACTTCCTAAACTTGAGACAACAGAGACATCTAGTGGCTACTAGAATAATTTGGGCAAAATATTTTAGATATTTTCCCCATTTAGATAACAGTTTGAATTACTACATGGGTCATGTTTCACAGATCTTTCTCCAAATAGTGATTTTCAAGTAAGGCAAATTTCCAATGATGTAGTAAGTGAAATCTCTACAACCGAGTGAAAAATTGACACCCCCCAAAAAAAGCAGAAAAAACACAAGATCCAATTCTTTTTAAATCATTACTATGATAGTACAGAATTAAATTATATAAATCTTATTTCCTGGCCAGGCACAGTGGCTCACGCCTGTAATCCCAGCACTTTGGGAGGCCGAGGCGGGCGGATCATGAGGTCAAGAGATCAAGACCATCCTGGCCAACGTGGTGAAACCTTCTACTAAAAATACAAAAAATTAGCTGGGCATGGTGGCGCACGCCTGTAGGCCCAGCTACTCAGGAGACTGCCGCAGGAGAATTGCTTGAACCCGGGAGATAGAGGTTGCAGTGAGCCCATATCGTGCCACTGCATTCCAGCCTGGCTCCTGGCAACAAAGTAAGACTGTCTCAAAAACAAAACAAAACAAAAAAAAAAACCAACCTTATTTCCTGAAATAAAAGAACCTAGTGACTATTCAGTTAGAAAAAACCTGATCTGGCCACATATCAGACAGAGTAAATACTTTTGCTGGGAGGGGTGAGGCATAAGGGACAGGAGCAAACTTATTATGCAGATTGTCTGAAGGTAGTTGGATAAAATGAGATTAGGTTGGGCACAGTGGCTCCTGCCTGTAGGTCAGGGCAGTTAGATCACTTGAACTCAGGAGTTTGAGACCAGTCTGGGCAACATGGCCCCATCTCTATAAAAAATATAAAAATTAGCCAGGCATGGTGGGTCACACTTGTAGTCTCAGCTACTTAGTGAGAAGATCGCTTGAGCCCAGGAGGCAGAGGTTGCAGTGAGCCAAGATCGTGCCACTGCACTCAGCATGGACAACAGAGTGAGACCCTGCCTCAATTGAAAAAAAAAAAAGATTAAAACATAAGGCATTTCCCTTTTATTAAGTTGAAGGGAAAGAAGGTATTAAGAACAGTGTCAGAGAAGCATATTAGGACAGAACTATTGAAAGTTGTCACATATTTATTTACCTGTGATGAAGCAGCTTTGAAGAAAGTTAGTATTAATTTCCAAGTGAGAAGGTATCCCAGAACATAACAGAAATCTTCACTCAGTGGTTTAATAGTAACTATCTGTCCAACGGGAATACATCCCAAAACATTTTCTAATAAATCCTCTTGAGTGCTAAGAAGAGACATCAGTGCTGCTGGTGGTGACCTAAGAATCAATGATTAAACACCACAAGTTTTCTTTATAACTCATTCCTTAACAAATTGACAGTATTTGTAGACTTCAAGCATTTTAGAAAAATTTCTCTATTTTCCAAAAACCTTCTACAAATTTCCCTCTATTGATCCAATTTTAACTTCTAATCTCATCTAACAGTAAAATCAAAAAGACATACTATAGCACTCGAAGGAAAGGCATTTTTAGAAAACATCCATTTCAATTTTCTGTTTTATAAGTAAAACACACACACACACACACACACACACACACACACACACACACACACA